TCCGTGAGGCATGGCTTCACTCGCACCTTCCAGCTCGACCAGTGATCCGACTAGACAAGACAACTTGACTACATGGATTGAATATCTTGGCTATGAGTATTGGTGGTTCGATCGATACGCCCTTTCGAGCCGCCAACAAGAATGGCTAGACAGTAAGTGGAAGGAGGTCGTTGACAGCAATGTATTGACTCACTTCGAGACACAGGAATCTGTATATGAATATGAACATCTACTACAAAGGGTTAACGAATTGGAGTTATCTCAGAGGGCTGTGGAAACTGCGAAATCTGCCGTGTTGGCTCAAAAAGCCGTCTTCGACTCAGAAGACCCCAGCCATTCCATCAAAGAGAATGATCGACGACTGCAGGAAGCTCAATCTAAACTAGATGTGGCGGAGAAGGACCATGATTCCATGAAACGCCGATATGAACTCATCAGCGACTTCGTTCGAGACACAATCAAGACTCGAAGGTCCAAAAAGAATTCACAACGTCATGCTATATTGCTACGATGGATACTAGACCAACTCCTTATCATCGAACATGAGATGGAGCAAGTCGAAACGCGGACGGACGCCTTGAACGAAGAATCTATCAATGGAAAGCCGAAGCCCAAGCAAACCGACTATCTAAACGCGGGAAAAGGCCACGGAGATCAGAAGGACAAGCATACGGAGAATCACACGGCCTTAAATCGTCAGGCACCTGTAGCCACCACGTCTCAAGGGAGGAAAGGCCGCAAGCGCAGCCATGACATTACTAACGAAGCACAGCAATCAAAACGGCCGAGAGGTAATGGCCGTCAGGGCACCCTCTCTCGTTCCAAAATATCTGAGTCGGTAGCTGCAGCTGCAGCAACAGAAGCGGCCGCCAAAATGTCACGTAATCCCAACCCTCCTACGTCAAGAATGACCAGGCAGCAACGAATCGCAACTACAATGGCAGCAGAGGGGCGGAGGGATGTTAAAGATATTGACGAGGTTTCTCGCCAAGTCACTTCGCATGGGAAACGACTTTCAAAGCAGCAAAGAAACGGTAATCAAACGAGGAATACCTCTGCTTACGCTACACATGCAGTAACATCAAAAGCAGCCACTGAAGAGCTGCAAATCCCCGAGGCCGCCGCATCAAGGGTAGCCAGACCAAAGTCAAAAGCAGCTACCGTAGGTGCAAACAAAGATGGGGATGCAGAAACTGACAAGCTTCCAATACAAAGAGGCGTTTCGCTTCGAAATAGACGAAAGAAGAAATTGTCTTCTAACCCACAGCTCCCTCTTGCGACCGGCAACTCTCTTCGTCGCAGCCGCAGACTTGCAGAGGAAAGGGAAAAGCAATTAATGCTTGTGGCGATACAGTCATCCCCAAATACCAAAGTCTCACCTGGATTTCATCGAAGATAATCCTGAACTCGGCCAAGGCCAACACAGACGGCGTGTGTCCCTTTGCGGAATGGCAAGCCACAAAGCTAACCCCTGGGCAACAAAGATCATAAACAAGAATAGGAAAGAAAGAGAAAGAGAAAATACGCTGCTAAAGACCAAACTCATTCTCCAATGACGGGCGGGATTTTTTCGAAGCCATGGATAGTTGACCGAATTCACTTAGTCTTACAGGTTCGTTGAAGTTGAAACTACCAAAGAGAGCAATGCACATATATGCAGCGCGTGGAGGGCTAACTAAACACTTACACCTCCGAATGGTTTCTAGGCCCGTTCATGGACGAACTTTGTGGCCCCGGTTCTACCTTAGTAACGACGGAGCATTGCTTCTGTGATGCATCGGAAGCTTTAGCGCCATATTTCAGCTCTGATATGGATTCAAGATCGGTCCGCTGCAAAAATTGGCCTCCCCATGCTTCAAACCACTCCGTTCAATAAGAAATTGAAGTACGCTGCATGTGCTTTCTTCGGTCGTTTCTGCCAACAAATCCTTTGCTCTGTGGTGTACGAATAAGTACGTGTATAATATTTTCATCTGGAATTTTGTCTTTGTTTTGTATTTCATTTTGTTTCATCAAGCTGTTATTTCTTTCTTTCTTTCTTTCTTTCTTTCTTTCTTTCTTTCTCTTCTTTTCCTTGCATTTTGTTTCAACCACGTCATTTTGATGCGCCGGCATTTTATATGATTTTGGTTTCATTTCATTCTATTTTAGTTTTCTGTATTTTCGTCTTCAAGGTCACTGCCTTATTAACCGTCGCAGAAAACGGGTTTAACTCTTTTTACTTGCCATTCTCTGGATTTGCCACTTAGCGCTATATATTCACCTCCATCACAACCTCTTCTCTTTCTCATGCCTTCCCCTTCTGGCATCTATATGGGGTGTACTCTTGGTTATTTTTTTTTATTTTTATTTTTTATTTTTATTTTTTTTATTTTTTTTTATTGTCGCCCGTGTGTCCTTCATTGAACTGGGAAAAGAGTTCTTTTCAATTTGCCGCAGTTCACTCAGTCTCCTTATGGTTCGGTCCCGGCCCCTCCCTATTCACACCGGCTTGGTATTCAGCTTTTCTTGTTGATAAATGAATATAGACACTTGAAATTAAATGACATTGGCTCTCTTCCCTGGCTTGCAGTTTTAGATGAAAACTCCTCGAACTGTAACCTTGAGACGACGTCATGCAATGATTTGAGCAGATAGACTACTGACTAGTTATCTGAATCGCACAGAGAAGCCAACCGCACCCTTCATGGTGAGGTTGAATACCCAAGATCAAATGTTTCTAAATGTAGATTGGGAGTGTCCTATCTTTGGTGTACTGTGTACTAGGAATCTAGAAATTGGGATTGGATTGTGCTGGCAGGTATTGATACCAGATAGCTCGAATTTAGCTCTCAGGAATGAAATAATAGTGGGATGGCAAGTAGGATAATTCTTGCGATATGAAATATATGAATAATGCCATTCGGGCGGCAGAAAAAAAAAAAAAACTCTTCAACTGGTAGAACTCGCACTCCTGCGTATTTACTGGAAACATAACTTGGCTTGCGCCATAAGAGACACATAAATTCCGATGGATCAAACGCACACACATACAAGCACAAGCACAAGCACAAGCACAAGTATATCTATGTAGGTAGATACACAAAGCAAGAAGTTTAGAATTTCGAAATTATATTTTAGGCTTAACCAAGCGATCCAGTGCGTGCAGTCCTACTGGGCCATCATATATTTGTTGCTCCACGGCACGGGCATTAATCTGTGTTGTTTCGAAGGCAATGGGTTAGCTTTGGTTCCGAGGGTGGGAGAAGGATATATATCTGCTATATAGGCTATAGCGAATGTGGATCAGAGAACTTACGTGCTGCATGCCTAGATCATCAACCTTTTCGACGCCCAGGAGTCGCATGGCTGTTGCCGTTTCAGTGGAGAGAACTACACGAGGGGAATTATCCCCGTTAGCACTGCGCCTAGCACGCCTTGAAGTCCTTCAAACAAGCACCAAGACTGGTGCTATAGAAAAGGGAAAGGGATGAAAAGAAGGAACACGGGAATAGTTAAACATACTCTCCAATACTCGCTCAACCCCCTCAACGCCACCGGCACCAAGGCCGAACAACGGCGCCCTCCCAACCCCAACACACTGTGCCCCCAGACACAATGCTTTCACTACATCTGTGCCCCGCCTAATCCCGCCATCAACCCACACCTCCACCTTTCCAAACACCTCGGGACAATGTTTCCGAATCTCCATGATCGTATGCACCGCTGTTGGCGCCGTGTCCATCTCCCGCCCGCCGTGGTTTGACAGGATAATCGCCTTGACCTGTGGCGCATGCAATGATGCGATATACGCATCCTCATGCGTCTGTAATCTCTTCAGGACGATGGGTAGATTCGTGTGTTGCGTCTAGCCAGGGGAGGGTTGTGGTCCAGGTGAGTGACGAGTCCGTGCCGGCGAATAATTGCTGGGCCGA